CTACTACTACTACTACTACTACTACTACTACTACTACTACTACTACTACTACTACTACTACTACTACTACTACTACTACTACTACTACTACTACTACTACTACTACTACTACTACTACTACTACTACTACTAACTACTACTACCACTACTACCACCACCACCACTACTACTACTATATGTCTAACTAAACTAAACTGTTGACTCACTCCCACGAAAGACAAGAGACACTGAACCCACAACCCACGCTCGACCTCCAAAGGCATCAAGGCTGCTCGAAAGCGCCCGGTGATATGAGCCCAGGATGGTTCCGGCAGCCGATGCCAACTGAAGCCTGCCACGACGAAGAGCATGGGACGCGTTTGCGTTCGTTTGTTCTGCGTTCGCTCCGGTTCGCTCCGGAGCACGCATTATCGACAGATCGGAACCCTTTGTGGCTTGGAAAGACTCAACATGCAACAAGCTGACTGGTCTAAGGTCGGTGCTTTCATCTACCACAGGTCGCTCCTTTCCTTGATCTCCAAACTGTCCGGTGCGCACCAGTCTCGCAGTCACCTACAGTTCGGAGATGACGCATGCCCCACCTGCGTCGTCACTCATCCAGAGATCTTGACCTCAGACATGGTCACATCGGCTTTTGGAGTCGGAGTCCACATCGGTGTCTGGCCTGAAACCGGTACCGAGACGACCGACGTCTGCGGTCCTCGTTGGTTAAGGTCGGTCAAACCTCGCACGTTCAACGAACTCCATGTCAAGTATACTTTGCGCTATACTGGGTGCACCACTCTTCACTCTCATGTACTATGGACCGGCCTTGTGCACAAGGTGTCTATGAGTACTTAGCCTCCTTAGTGGTGATTCGGGGTGATCAACTAACTTCTGTAACTATACACATAGTATCCGAAGAAGAAGGTCTGAAGAACCCGATATAGAAGCTTTTCTCTTCGCTGCCAGAAGAGCCGAGAGTTCTCACCAAGATCGGCTGGTGTGCAACGAAGGCAATGGATACTTCCTCCGATATGTCTTCAGTGCTCCCGGAGCAGTGGGCCAGCTTGGAATGAAGTAATTGTCAGGCCTGCAGTGTAGTGGATTGAGAGTAGATGGCACAGACCCCAAGAGGTGGTTACAGTATATATTGACCCCCATCTAAAGGACATCATGGGGTCTGTGATGGTCTGTGCCATCTATACAGCAAACGACTTATCCCGGGCTTTTTTAAAGCGACAATTCCTCGGCGCCTTCCTGATGACCAACGCCACCCCTGCCGCAAAGCGCGGCCTCTGTTGCTTTCGTATCGCAGCCTTCACTTTCAAGCAAGAAAAGCAAGATCAAGCCTCGAGATTGGGATGAATCCTGCATCTGGCTGCCGGCTCCTGCTCACGCCCAAATGCCCAAATCTGTGCAGAAATCACTGTATCCCTGAGCCAGTTGACCGGCATTTCACCAGGGCATAGTAGAGTCGCTTTCAGGGGTTGACAGCTGCAAGGTGCCGCGTGTTGCGTGTGTGTTGCGTGCCGAGTGCTTGAGTAGATGCAGTCCAAACATGTCTGTTCAGCATTGCCTCCATGGCCTGCCACTTGCACCCTGAGCTGCTGTGGGCTATGCCTGAGATGAAAACACCTCCGCTTGAGGCTCTTGAAATTTGACAAACTTGCCTCAGTTGGTGTCACCATCTTCCTGGCCAAACTCTTCGCGGCGTGTCCACTGTCCTGTCGCTAGAGCGAGGTATGCCGCTCGCAGAGTTGGAGATCTCTTCTTCGCTGTGTCCTCTTTACGGAGGCTCTGAGGAACCCTAGCCTCCCCTACCAAGCCAGGTTGACACCAGCTGAGTGGATTGAATCTGTTCATATTTCATGACCCGCACTGTGGCCGCCCGGGTGTGTCGACCCGGACCGCACCACGTACGGAGACAGTCGGGAACTGGAGTGAAAAGAGGCGAACGTCCCACTCTGGGTGGAAGAGGGGAACGCACCGTTACACCAGGACCTTCAACCGAACTTGAGATCCCAGGATGAGGTCACTTAGGACTGTAAAAGGTCATTTAGAGACTCCAAAGAGGTGACTTTGAAGGTCCTGGCATACCCCACATCACCAGTCAGCTCATCACCGACAAAAAGTGCGAGCGCCAAATCGTTGGCGCATGTCATAAACCAAACATCAGCTGGTTGTCACCCATGGAGAGACCACCAAACTTTGAGCTATAGTCATTCTGAGAGGTTTCGACAACAAACCGAACCTGAATGAGGCCCCAAAAACACCTATAAAGGTCTATTCAAGGAACACACGTCCTAAAATGGCCATTAAAGGGAAGAGTGGTGAGTTCAAACTGGATGTTTAAAAACAGAAACATGATCATCGACTCCATCTTTGTCCATTGTCTTTGATCTTTTTTGAATCCCATCTGCAGCTTCCACCGGAATCTCCAGACTTGGGTGCCCAGACAGACTTCGGCTGCCGCCGCCAAGCCTCCACAGAGCAGCAGCCGTTCCGGTCGCCCGGAGACGCTCAAGAGAGCACAAGCGGCACGGGGGGACCATGGAGACGCCTGGACCGTCGGCGCGCTGTCCGCGAAGCCCGCCACTGACTGAGACGCCTGGGCCCTTGCTGTGCTGTTTGAGTTATCTGCTTGGCTGCTTGAGTTGGGCAGCCATGCGTTGTTTTGGTGAAGGAAGAGGTGTGCACAGCACATCCAATGATCCGTTTTGGGAGTCCAGCTCCTTGCTGACCCAAAAGTCTCTTTAGTGCTTGAAAAAGGTGGCATCGTGGCACTTAACAAACTGTATACTTATATGTTAAATCATATTTACCTCCCGCCCTATCCCACAAATGGACTCTTCATTGATCGCCAATGCACCTTAAGACAACTACACCTCTACCACCCAGAAAGCTATGTTTCGCCGCCCTTCTTCGCCTGCGACATGCAACGCCAGGAGAGTCCACCATCCTGCGAGGCCCAGAGGTCGTTCAAGCGACCTCCCGCTGCATCTTCACCGCCTCACCGTCCCGTCTTGGGTGCAGGTCGGCCAGGCCAGTCCGTGTGTCGTTTAGGCTTGAGGTCGCTTGTTTGCATCAACATCGAAGTCAGTCCCAAAAGTCCATTCTGGAGAGCCGGTCACCGCGCCTGCAACATACAGCAAGTAGCCTCTGCGTGCTGAAGCCTCGGCTTGGAGCCGGGCTTCGCCCGCTGTGATATAAGCTGCCTGGATCAACTGCTGCTGAGTAGCTGCATGTGGGAAGGAACAGCCAACAAAGGTTGAAGGACCCTAGTTCCAGTTGCGCCAGTTGGGTACTTGGAGGTCATTCGGGTCCTTTTGTTCAGGTCACTGATATATGTGTAACCTCTCTTGGAGATTGACATCAATTTGGCCATGGTTCATTTTTGCTTCTCATGGATACAAACCGTGCCAGTCCCAAACATCAAATGTGACCTTTCACTTGAAACTAGTATGGATGGACGATGACGCTGCACGCTAGTACTCGTGACGTCTTGTGACCTGCTTCGAAGACCAGGGAATCCAAAAAGATCCAAAAAGGCTAATTTCGATTAACCCAGGCGTGCAGGGCAAATCTTTGGGCTCAAACGTGCTAAACTGCTTTCCTTTGAGGTCCTGTTGGTGCACCTGACCTAATGCCGGCCTTACTGCGGCTCCGGCGACTGATCATGATTGACCTAAGCTCTCTGGCCAACTCTAGCTTCCAAGCAGTTCTCAAACCCAGATAAACACGTTTGAAAAGAATCCCTTATAGCCTATAGCCTATACTTATGCTTTCCTGCTGTGCTTGCCATCCCCTCACCCCAAAAAGAAAGGACACCTGCCTTACTGCACTTTCCTGCCATCCTCTTCAAGCCTTCCCTCACCCAGCCATCACCCTCACGTGTCACGTCGAGTGTCCCCAGCAACGGCAAAGTTGCACCGCGGCTTCCACTTCCGGTGCCAGCGCCGCCCACGATCATCGCTATAGCCTCGCCGCAGTCGTCCACACGACGACCGCAGTGGACAGGCCACGCGACATCGGCCGAGGCTCAGAAGTGCAGACTACTGAGCTCCGGGGCTCAGAAGTGCAAGTTCTTGGTGGAGATGTTCCCATTTCTTGAGATTCAAGTCCCATTTTGTGTTTTTGTTTCTGCAGGCGGGAGGACGAGCACGAAAGACATGAGAAATGCGTCAGTATTTTCGAGGAGGAGCCTCTATGCTCTTGAGGGTTGAGTATAGATGTGCATGCGTCCATGTTCTGTAGATCAGGTGCATTCTGAAGTCTGTCGAGAAGAGTGTGAGTTCAGTCACGGAAGGACTCAGGACTAACAAGAACCTGACAAACATTCCAAAGAAATATACTGTTATATACTCTCTCCATATAATATATATATATATTATACGTCATATATTTACTTAATCATCCATCTCTTGGCAAGCATGTGCAGCTGGCAGCTGGATCACAGGAGAGTATTCCCCAGCCTTCATCATGTGCTGAGATGAGCTTCCAGTTGCAATCGCGCCTTGGCTAGTTTTTTTTTTCCGTTCCATGTCAACGCTAGAACTGACGATGAGGTGATAAACATAGGCAGTTGGATCACCTAACCCTGCTCAGCGACGCCTACTCAAGCAACCTCCTGAAACGACCCTGCCGCAACGAAGATTTAAACAACAACCCATTCGATGTTTTTTCATCTTCTTTCCTCGACCTCTCGAAGCCGGATCCTACCAAATCCACCAATCCACCATCCCTACCACTTGCCTAGCTACCCACCTGCTCCAAAAATCCAAACATCTGATCCGTTCTTTTTGTCCTTCATTCCCCAAGACCGCCCCTCTCTCCCAAGACGGCAACGTCCATCAGCCGAGATGCCAAGCCGTCTTCGACAAGGTGCACCGCCACACGTCATTGCAACACCAACCGCCTCGTCCAAGCCGCCGGCCCCTTGGGCCTTTCGACCAAATGAGGAGAAGGGATTCATCTGGTCATTTTCGTACTTGTCGTGAAGTTTTCCGAAAGGTTGTTTTTTGTTCATCAATTGTAGCATAGATTGAGCAGGTGCGCCAATCTTGTACATTCGAGCTCGGTTGGCACAAAGAAGCTAAATAAATTCAAATAATAGTGACAGAAAGTCAGCCCTAAAGTCGTACCAAAGTCCAAGTTTGTCAAACATCTACCACAAAGATCTCTCATTAGGTGCCTGGTCTCTCTTGGTTTTCGTATACATAAATTTAAGACCTCCCGCACCTATTATGTAGATCTCATGATACTTCCGTTTTGACACAACCAGCGCTTCTGCTGGGCTGTCCTGCTTGGATGCAACTGGTTATTGGCTGCTCGAGCGGATTTGAACGAGATCCGCTTTTGGACAACATTCAACGATGAAGCCCGAATTCAACTTCAGCATCTGACAAGAGCACATGATGTTGTCGCACCCTGGTCATCTGCCCTTTTGCATCTTCCTTATAGTATTGGGGGGATTTATGAATCAACATGAAGTCATCATCAATTACATCGGCCACCTTGGGGTGGATGTTCCCCAATTATATGGGGCCCTCGACGCGCCACGCTTTGCTGCTGTCGCATGTCACGGTTTTGGGGCACCGCACTGCCGGTCGAGCTAGCGGCTCCAGTCGTGTTCGTGTCACGCGCCTGATGCTTTCTGCCCTCCCAGGAACAGCAACGGACCACCGGTAGCTCCACCTGGGCGCCGAGTTCTCAATCTCTCCAGGTCCGGTGGGGCGCGGAACTCATCCCGGTCATCCCTTTAGCTGTTTGGACTGGAGATTGTTCCACAAAAAAACAACCTGAGGCTGGAACAAAGGAAGGAGAGGTGTTCCTTCAAGTTGATCATTGTGTTTTGAGTTATCCGAAAGTTCCAGATCCCAAATCACCGCTCTCATCCGCCCAGCCGAGCAGCAGCCTGGCAGAACCAACGAACTGAAATGATGCCTTGGAAAGAAGCCGCCCACATCCTTTGGAGCCTGCATCGCCGCGATGACACGAAGCCGTCGCCATGTGTCGCAAGGTGGGAGGGGGGTCGCGGCTTGATATGCACTCTTATTAGAATCTAAGACTTACTTGAAACAAACAAACTATAAAATCATCTCAAGAAAAATCAATTTGCTGCCATACCCTCCAACACTCTAGACGGTTGTTTTTACTCTCTCAAAAAAAAAGAGGTGCGTACGAGCAAAATGAAAGCGATGTCTCTTGCACCAAGATGCTCTTACACGAAATCATGAGTTCCCTGAAGTGGAATCACCTCTTAAGACCTTCGGAAGGTCAGCATCGTGGGGGGAGGTCTTCAATCGAAGAACCAGTCTGGAACGGGAAGGCAAACGCAGCTGGGGACGTCCCCAGCGCCATGGCCGGAGGTGCCAAACCATCCCATGTGACTCAAAATGACTGGAATATTGAGTGGCATTGACATTTGACATAATATGATATACAGAAAAACAACATGAACATCAAGGATCCAACCATTCCAGGGAGTGAGCAAATGCCTTGAAAGTCGAACCCCCCGCCGTGGTTTTCCAAGGTGCGGCCAACTGAGCGCGACCGCCCCAGAGCAGCTCGCCCATCGCCGGGCGGCCTGAAGACGGCGTGGAGATTGGTGGGGCATAGGGAAGTATGAAGAAACCCATACATCAAGTACTTCACACATTCCATATTTTTCATACATCAAGTACATTTGTACGAAAAAATATGGAATGAAACAAACACGGAACAACACATCAAGCACGTCGAACAAACATGCCAACATGAAGCCAGATGGCGTCCACGGTTTTCAGTGGGTGATGGTGGAGTAGACACAAATAGCGCTACAACGGACACCAGACTATAGGCACATGTTAACAGAGTGCCCACAAGTACATGCCCCTTCTTTGCGACTTCGCCATTCCCCCACCCTACTCCAAAACGAGTTCCAGGTGTGGAGGATGGTTTCCTCATGCAGACTCATTGATTCATAAAACACCCCATATCAGGGTCCCCTAAGGTGTCTAATTATAACTCTTTAGAGGTTAAGGGGTATCCATTAACAACCACTTAGGGGGGCCATGGCATGATGCAAATACAATCCAAATTATTGTTATTAATCAAGAGTCTACATTAGCCACATCTGCCTTATCTCTTTTTCTTAGATTGGAAGCTCAAATTACGTGCCCAATGCTGGCGCGCAGTTTTCTTCTCCGCTCAAGAAATCGCTTTCTTTTCACAGCCTGTGGCTCAAAGACCTCAGTGTGGAGAAAAAGAGATCAACCAACTGGAACATTTGGCGGTGGCACAAAAAATAGGGGTGCCAACAACAAAACAAGTCACAGTCAATTCCTGCAGAGTCCTATTTGGCCTTAGTCCAGCCCCCCAGATTCGCCAAAGTCACCAGTGGCTCAATGAGCTGACTCCCGATGCTAGAGATCTGTGGAAATATGATGAAACATGTGCAGGTACCCTCGAACAACCCCCACTTGCTGAGGAAAATCAACTCCCAAAGAGATGATCCACAATGATCCACTTTTCCGTTCTTTCGTCCAGTGGATCCGATGTGAAGGTGGCTTTTCTCGACGGCTCCAGAGGACGACTCTTCATACTCCGAAACCGGAACCCATTTGCACCCCAAAACCACCGACAATCACAACGCCCGGTTTTGGTTGCGAGCTGGCTGCGAGTGGACTCACTTCAAAGGCCATAAGGAGTCGAGGAATTGGCTGAAGCGGCGCGCTTCCCCGCCCAGCAGCTTCCTGAGAGAACCAACGACCGGCGGGGTGCGGAACTCAGCCCAAAAACCACCAAACTCCACGTGGCTCCCGGGCTTCGCGGTTCAGAAGGTCTGCAGATTCTCCAACCTGTGGAGTCTTCGATGTGCCACTGCAGTTCACCAATCATTGTTCATGCCTGCTTGGGCCAAATCTGGCGTAGAAACATCACGAAACGTCCTTTTTTAGTGATGGATATGGGTGGAGATATTTGGTCGACTCAATAGCCTGGTAACCACGCGTTTCAGAGGAGGAAACCCTGCCAAACAAACAGAACAAACATCTCCACCACCCCACCACCTTGATTCAAAGTGACCGAACTTGAGATCCCAGGATGGAGTCGCTTAGGCTGAAACCCGTTAAAAGGTCAAATAGAGATTCCAACCAGGTCACGGGCTGAAGGTCCGTGCAGGTGTGAAGCGTTGGCATTAACCAGCTGGCCGCTGTAGTTAGAGGTGATTGCACCAAAAGGTGAGAATCGATATTACTCAATATACCGACTCCCAGTGCTGATGGCGTTTCTAGAATCCCAACATACCTTTAGCGATCAGTAGCTCGATCCATCCCCGTTCATCCAATCCAAAACCCGATCCGTTGACCTTTCTTCTTTAAGCGGAAGAACCTCAGGGATCCAGTGGCAAACCTTGAACCCTCTCAGATTGTTGCCAACTGATCCTGGCTCTTGTGAAACTCTCCTTATCTTTCACTTGCTCACTCGTCCAGCATGAAGCCAAATGAATCACCTACGGCAAATCTCGGTTTTAGAGCCCTGAAAGGCAGCAGGGCCAACAGCCCACGGGTTTTAGCACCCTGAACAACATCCCGAAGAACATCCACCGCCCCTGCCAGCTGTGGTGCTTGTCTTTCCAATTCACTTCAGCCTGTGAGTTGTGAGAAACACCGCGTCGTTTTGAGGTTTGGAGGATGCTTTGTTGATGTGAACGCTGACTCACACTGCTGTAGATGTAGTTCTCTTGTGTTCCCCTAACCTAACCTCCAGCCTCTGCAAGCCGCAGTTCCCTAACAAGTAACAGGGTAATAACCAAGTTGGATTGACAAATCGAACAATCTTGTTGCAGGATCGTTTTGTCCGCCAAGTACTTCTCTGACCGGAACACGGGGGTTGTCCACTGCTGTCCACTGGGAACGACCCGAAATACATCGAAATACCCATCAAACAAAGGTGGTCCGGCCGATACTGAACCGTTTAAATACCCAGACGACCCCGGACACTCATATGGAGGGGTCGGACCCGAGTCTGTTTTGAGGGACCAGTCGGGCTGTGAACGGAGCGTCCGGGTACCCAACTTTCATGCAAACGGAACATGGTTTCCAACCAAACGCACAACTGCAGGCCTCTGCATAGACAAAGCTTGCCAAATCTTCCACATTCTTCTCCTGGGTTGGGAATCAACATGGCTTGCTACATCCTTAGATCTTAGGGTGTCTCGTGGAAAAGAAACAGAAAACAAAACAAACAGACTTGTTCGGCATTGTCAATGTCCTAGCTTGATTGAATATAATGTTGAGATCTGGATGAAGCATGGCCTGGTTCAAGAGTCACACACACAAAAAGAAACAAACACATGATGCCATCCAGTTCCAAAAAGGAGAAGCTTGACCAATTACGACTCAAAGGTTTGCAACCTTTCACCACATCGTCTATATATGCTATAGGATTGCAATCTGCCATATAGATATAATTACATATTACATATCATATTATCGTCACTATAAAGGAACTGTTTTATGTTCATGCATGCGTCCAAAGCTTGCTTGAGATTCTGATCTGTTTGCCCAACAAGAGCACCTGCTCGTTGGGGTCGCCCAATTCGGTGACCTCTTTGAGTCGTCCGTGGCCGTGGCCAAAGACCTATCCTTTCATACTTAGATTGTCGTGATGGGAGATGCCAACAGATCCTAGGTTGAAGGTGTCAGGGTTTCATCTCCAACCATGCCATGTTTTCTCTGATCGATGCACTGAGGTCCTTGCGAACTGACAGGGGTAAGGGATCAAAATAAAAA